AGAAAAAGTGGGAGGAGGTGGAGGAGTAAGAGAGGGGGTGGGGGGGCAGGGGGTAGGTGTCTGACATTATACATATATCCACTCAGAGGCTGTGTAAGAAAAAGGGCATTATTTGATTTGGGGGGGGATAGCTGCCATGTTTATCTAAAGGGTTACAGATTGGGCTGCGCAAGTGTAAACAGAACATGTAAAGTCAAAAGGCCAAGTTGCTTTAAGTGTCATATTTATAGTGGAAGAAGTTCTTAGTAAGTGAGTAGCAATTGCACAAAAATAAAAATACCCCATTCAGTAAAAATAGAGAATTTGTGATGTATTAGTTTCAGGTAGTAGTAGGCTATTATCAGTATTTAAATACCAAATATAAAAGTACTCACTGTGCAGATATGGCTTAGAAGGAAAAAATATATTAACTAAATTTCTTCTTATTATAAGCTACATACAAATTGAGATTTTAAGACATGTTGTAGGTTATTTTTTAATATTTAAAGTTAAAGTTTTGAGATTTCACCGTTGAGATTCGGAGCTGCGGTCAGCCAATCAGATTGCAGCGTTCAACAAACGTCATCCGCCGGGAGAACTAACCGGTAACGTTTCGTGTATCTAGGTTACCGGAATTAACGGGAGAAGTAACGGCAGTGTTGCGTTATATATAAAGTTTAACAGTTTATAACTTAGCTGAAGGGAAAAGTCAAAGTTGTGTAATTAAAAAATCAACTATTGAACAGAAAGAAAGACACTTTAGCTGCTAACCTGCTAATGCTAATATTTAATGGCAATGTGAGCTACGTAGCTAACCTAAACCTAAGCTATTTAAATACTTTACTACATATTTTTCTCATTGATAAATTGAAAAAAGTTTAGAGGCTACATTAAAAGTGAGTTACATGAAATTGTAGCTACAAATTAGGCTATTATATTACCTAATTGGCTCACTAATTATAGAGCTGCCAGTAAACACAATAGAGCATTATTATAAGATGACTTTACTTTAAAGTAACTTAACTAGTTAACACTTACAGAAAATAAAACCTTGAATGTTTGTGTTGCCAAAAGGTTTTTAAATTGAACCACAATATAACATTAAGTTAAATGTATCTGTGTGTGATTAGAGAGGAATGAAAGGCAGAGTTTGCCAATAAGTTTCCAATGGTTTCTTTGATAAGACTTGCGAGTCAAAATGTTGCCTTTATGATGTCTGACAATGAAACTCTTTCAATGAATAAAATAGCAAAATTCACAGAATACAAAAGCATTACACTTTTTAATGCCAAACCTGATTTAAAATCCCCAAATTCCCCCACATAGGTTTCTTGAAACCTCTAAAAATATCCAAAATGTCCAAAACGCAGGCTTGACCCCGCTGACAAACGCTAATTTAAAAGCCTCTTGGAATTGTTTTTTATTTGCCTTGATATAGTGAAGTTCTTTCAGACTCAAAGTGTACGTGATTGCTTCACAGAACCATTAGAAGTGAACGACTCTCCCACTGCGCTGGTCTCCATTACTGAAACATCACTGTACTTTCCACAGTCACAACCATGTCTATCTGCGACGACACGCTGCTTTGTAACTTCTCAAAGTGTCGGACCAAGCTGAGCGGCTTCGCCTGGGTCACAGCTTGCTCACACGTTTTCTGCGACCAGCACGGGTCCGGTGAGTTCAGCCGCTCCCCCGTCACCTGCCCGGCCTGCTCCTCTGCCCTGTCTGGGAAGCTGGACATTGTGAGGACGGAGCTGTCGCCCTCCGAGGAGTACAAAGCCATGGTGCTGGCAGGCCTGCGACCGGACATCGTTTTGGACATCAGTGCCCGTGCTTTGGCCTTCTGGAGCTATCAGGTCAAATATCTTCCTGTCTGTATGTATATGAACATAGTGTGAGTCTTCTTGCTGTCACACCCAGCTTGTCTTTGTCTTTGTAAACAGGTCCACCAGGAGCATATGTATCAAGAGTACAGTCTGTCACGGGCAGAGGCTCAGCTGAAGCAGATGGAGAAGGTGTTGACCCAGCAGAACCAGTCCAGAGAGCTGGAGCTCACCGCCATGAGGGGGGAAATCGCCTCCCTGAAGAAAGTAAACCACAATTCTTAAACTAAAAGTGCAGATTCATGAGCATAAGATTGTTTTTAAATACCAAAACGACTTGGTTTGTCCACTTTGGGTATAAATAGCTCAGGCATAACCTCTGACCTGCTAAGAAATACCGTTGGTTGTACTGTAATGTGTTACACTCGAGATAAGATTGTACAAAGGGCCCTGGGGAGGGGGGGAGGCGACAGAGCAGCAGGTCCATGGTCATTATCTGTCCCTCTTTCTTGACCGTGTGTGATGAAGAAATAGAAGCTTTTAACCTCAGATATCTACAGTAATGATGTCAAATTTGATCTGAACTCTTATCTTTTAGGCACACATGGTGATTTAGGTTAAGGGCTTGAGGTAGAACATTAAAGACGCAAGTTTATGTCAATGTATGGAAATGAATTGTTTCCTTCAGGTGATGGAGGAGTATAAGAGGAAGTACAGCGATGTGTCCGAGAGGCTGATGGAGAGGAACAGGCAGTACCAGAAACTACAGGGGCTGTACGACTCTCTGAGGCTGCGCAACATGGTGGTGGGCGAAAGAGACACGCTGCCACGACCAGGACATCACGACTTCAACACCGGTAAGAGCAGCAGGTTGAAATCAAAGGCTTTACCGCTTTAAAGGTCACACTCTTTAATATACCGTCTTTTTGTGCAGGTTCTAAATGGATTTCACAATAAGAGATGTAGCTTGTTGGAGTTTATGAATCATCAGGCCACAAATTCCATTCATTCTTTATACACCAACTTTTTGACAGTGTTTAAAACCATAAAACATAAAGAAAATAACGAGTAGGAAGTATTACATACATAATTGTTCCCTGTTATCAATTATTATTGGTTTTAATCATTCAATATCTGCCATGTTTATCAAAAAATATACTATTCAAATGTGAAAAACATTAGTCCTGAGACAATTCATCAACAAAAAGTTTTTCCCCAACGATTTTTAATAATCAGTTAATAGTTTAAGTTATTTATTAAGCAGAAATGTCAGATATTTGCCAGTTACTGTAAGTTGAGTACCTTTGGATTTTGGACTGTCGGTCATCGCCACATATCGCTGTAATGGGCATTTTTTCCACAATTATCTGACATTCTGTCGACTAAATGACAAATCGATACATTGATTAATGAGGCCACAGATTAATCGATAGTGTAAGTAATCAGTAGTTGCAGCACAAAACAGTATGTTTGCAAGGAAAGAAGTAAACTGTTATATAACACACCGATGATGACTGATGCTGCTGGTGTTGGAGAATAGCAGCTTCTCATTAAAAAGCATTAACCTTTAATAAGCAGTTTAAGTTCTATCCAGTACAAAGGAGAAAAGATAAAGAATGTGTCTTTCTGCGTGAGAGTTTTATTAAATTAGTTGTACCCACAGCGAATAATGAGAATAGGAAGGAAGCACAGAGAATAATGTTGAATGGCACAAAGGAAGACACAGCTGTAGGTGTTTTGTCAAGAAGAAGCGGTCATCAAGGAAGAACAGTAGGTGTAATGAGCTGATTGTCTATGTAAGGGAATTTTACTCAGTATAACAATGAGAGACATCCGTCAACCCCCTACATGTCACCCAGGGATGGCTCGGCAGGCGACTCCCCAGAGAAGCCCTCAGTTCCTCTCCATGGGCTACGATGGGGACAGCAGATTCTTCTCCTGCCTCGAGGCCGATGGAGCCAAGACCTTCTTCCAGTTCAGCTCCCCCACCAGGGAGAGAGGCCAGCCCTTCATGAAGAAGCACTGAGACCGGGAACAGGTGTCTTAGTGACTGTTAAAACACTAACTTGACTACATTTATTTATATATGTTAAGAAGTTGTTGTGTTGTTTTAGTGTTAATTTAGTTGGCGTGTTTGCCTTGAGTGAATAGTATGGTAGAGTAGTTATAGTCATTTGAACTATAAATGTGTTTTTGGCCAATGGTAACTCAAACTAGCAGTGAAACTTTTAGTCCTGGTCTCTACTTAAGCATATGTTTGTGTGAAGAAGAACAATGTAAATACAGTGTACTCTTTAAATTACAGTCTTCTGTTTACTTCTCTGTTTGCATTTAATCCAATTAAGACTCCAGTGTGTTCGTTTCAGTATTTTCATGTGTGATAACCTCAGTAAAGACAATGGATTACTTGTTTTAGGCCCAACAAACAAAACAAAAGCACTTAACATTGACTTTTATAGTAAAAAAAATTAAATTAAATCATACATTTTACTTTACTGATACAGTACACATATATTGCTAAATGAATAACAGTAGGTGGTCCGCTATACACAGTGTGAACAATTTGATTTGTGGTGTTGCACAAAGCAGAAAACTTGGGTTTGTTGAATTTGCAGCAATCTGGGTTAAACCTGAGCAACTGGCTGGTTGTTGACTGGAAGTTTAAGGAGGCCTACTGAGGTCCACACTTCGATACTGAGTGTAATGGGAAGTTTTTTTACTGCATAACAAACAACCAAGGCAGTTGGTTTTCTACTTTGTGAGTGACACCAGACAATGTAGCCCTACTGTGACATTTTGCCATGTCACCGTAGGAAAAGAGGTGTAAAGGATCAAATCACTGTCTCGTGTGTCTATCAAGTTCAAATGCTGCTGTGAAAAAAGGCCTACTGTTAAATTAATGTAATACTACTAGTACGTCCCGCCACTTTGAAAACTGCTGTTTTAAGACACCACACAAACAATATGTTTAAGACAAAGGAATTTCTTTTCCAGGGTAAACAAAAGTCACAATTCTGACATCATATTGTCATTATCACAGGTCCATTCATTCACTAAAAGAACTCCATGTTGTCCCCACAACAACATAATACAAAAAAAGAAACATTTATAAATATAAACAAACGGGCTCTCTAAAGACAAAGTAACAGGGCGACCTCTATATACAAAAAAAATAATAAAAAAAATACACAAAACACATAAAACAGGCACAAACTTTGGAAACTTCCTTAATTATCCAAACTCTTCTTCAAAATCCAGAAAAAATTTGGTCCTCTTTCTTCTTGTTGAGCTCATTCGCTCTGGGGCTTGTAGCTAACAGAGGCAGCAATCTGACTTTGGACATTTTGTTTCTTGCCGTTGACAATGAGGAGCAGAGGAGAGTCCACTCGTATACTTCTGAAGTCAAACGACTGCCAGAAAGAGAGCAAATCCGAAAGTCAAACATTTAGAAAGACTAATAAAAGGAGATTATTCAAAACATGTTGGAGCTACGTATGTGAAATACTGACCTCATCTTTATGTGTTATACTGTTCCGCTTGACCTGCGGTTCAGGAATGACTACAGTGTCTCCTATCAGGACGCCCCAGCTGTCCGCTGTGTTGTAAACCATCACCACTATACACGTCTCCTCGCTGTCCACCATGCCAAACGTACTGCAGGAAAAAAAGAAGATCCACATTTCCTTTCCAGTATCACACCAGCACTGAAGCAAACAAATAATAAATAATCTGCACTTACAAGGCCATGCGACCCTCAGAGGCCAGGCTGAACACCACCTTGCCCAGGGCGGCCACCCCGGCGTTGTGACCATGCGTGAAGGAGGAAAGAGTTCGAGGCTCCAGGCTGCCGACACGGCCTGTCGGGGAACGGAACTGAGGGGACGAGCAGGGACCCATGGCCGACGTGCTGAGGTTAGAGAGCATCGTCCGTAACCGACGCGCCTTTACTTTCCCCTGAACAGAGGGACAGACTGACGGTTAGGAGCAGAACAACAGATATGGCTGTGTTTTGCTGCCACCTTGTGGTGAAAAATCCAATCCTTTGGTCATCTTTGTGACAATGTAAACAAAGATTACATTCTATAAAACAACCATATTACCTTTTTTCTCAAACAGACCAATGACGGAAAAAATAAAAAAAGGTGATGCCAAAAGTACAACTTAATTAACTACACCAGAATAAGCAACACCTTCTCCTACCTTGTTCTGTAGGAGTTCTGTGACTTTCCTCAGATACTCCAGCAGCTGCTTCTCCCTCTCTGGAGGCTCCTCCCAGCCCGGGTCCAGCGCCGCGGCTCGGCTGTAGCCGGCAAGCGCAGACCCGAACATTTCCTCATACTGGAACAGAGTGGATCGGTTGAAATGCAGCTCCGGGTAACAGGAGGCAGCTCTGTCCACTTTCTCCTACAAACGGGGGAAGAAAGGAGTAACATATTAGTACAACAGAGCAGCTAGTGCTGATGGATTTTAGCAAACATGTTAATGGCTCAATACTCACAGATTGTGCATAGGCACTAAGAGCTTGTTGAGACAACTGTGGATTCTGTCCACATGTGAAAAACAGGGACACATAAGCATTTCCCAGGATATCTGTAAAGACAATAACAGAAATGTTTTAAGATATTGAAGCATTGTATATTGACAACAAAAGATTTGACAGAGCACAAAAGGTCTGAGCGATATTTGAACATGTTTTTTTAGGCAACACAGCCACCAAATGCTGCTCTTTGTCCCCATCTGGTGATTAAAAAAAAAATATGCAGTCCCAGCTTTTATTTTGAAAACAGAAGGAAGGGTCACTTCCAGCTTAAATCGAATGCTCTGCTCTCAGTTTGAGTTTGCGCTCAGGTTAGGACAGAAAACATCATTTATACAATCACTTTACTCTAAATCTGCATCTATAAAAACAAACAGACAAAGTATCCAGACGCTCTACTCACACCAGGACGTCCCGTCTGTGACATCCAGCTGGACAGCTTGTCGGGCCATGTCCACACTCTCCATCACCTGCTTGCTGTGTGCGTCGTTGTCCACTGCTGGCAGCTGTCTCAGCACCATAGACAAGTTACGTAGAGACACTTTGTTCTTGCTCTACGGAGGTGGAAGATAAAGCACGAGACAGATGAGTTAATGTGTGAAACCTTGTATGGAGGGATAGAAAGAAATGGGAGTCTGCAGTGACTTAAACAGAAACAACCTGTGCATTTACTTGGTGCAGTCCTGGATTTTTTAATTAAAAAAAAACGTTTCTCTTGACATAAAGTGCCATAAATGTTAATATACTTCAAAACAAATACGTAACAAAACATTTTAGAATGAATTAATACTTGTACGGGCACTATTACGATTCCTTACACTGAATATCAAGGAATGCGGTGCTTGAATTATTGCTTTTTATGTGAGAAGCCGAGGAAAAGAATGCTTCACTGGGTTGAAAACATCTCCCTCTCTCTTCCTGCCCTCACTGTACCTGTTGCAAGGCTCCAGTGAAGCAGTTCTTGGCACCAATCAGGTCTCCTTTTTTCCAGTACTGCTCCCCTAATGTGTTCCAGCCGTCGACCAGGCCAGGCTCCAGCTTGACAGCGCGGGAAAGGCACTCTTCTGCTGCGGCGCTGAAGTCGGGAGCTACGTTAAGACACCTGCCCTTCTGCAGCAGAAATTCCACTTTGTGTTTAAAATGATCTGCGGGACATCACAAACACAGAGGTACAAGTGGGTGTGAATGACATTCTGCACATACAAACACTTCACTAAAGCGCTGTTTGGGTAAACACGACGTTCACCTTCTTTCTCCTCCAGCTTCCTCAAAGTCTTTTCTATCTCCTGTGCGACATCGCTTTGTTTCCTTCCAGCTTCCTCCACACTGTGAGTCTCAAAATAGCAGTCTCTAAAATTGTACAGTTCATCCACGAGGTCCTGTAATGGGAATGGAGGAGGAGGGAGAGGGGGAGTAGACAGAAACAGATTGTGAATTCTTAGCAGATTTTAAAATAGATCAAAGGCCCATTTCTGACAGTTAAATCTGCCTGTGGAAAATAAAACTGGGGCAATTGAGCTAAGAGATGCACCAATATTCAAGCATATTATTAGTATTTTGTGATCTTGTTAATTGCTATGGTTGTTTTACAGTTTAGTTTACTGACAATATTCTTCTATTATAAAATACAGGAGCCTTTATCGGGGATTAAACAGAGTCCTGGATTTACTTCCATCTATGCCCATCATGTTTTCAGTCCACCAACCGTTATGAAGACAAGAAGAAGCGATGAGATCAGTTTCCTCGTTGTTAAGAGTACGAATCAGCCTGTTAAAAACAACTGTACAACATATTCTGCAGCTCTGGAGAAAGTGAGAAGATAATCCCTAACTATGTCAGGGTAATGGTTTCTGGTCTTTGGAGGGATTAAATTTTCTAAACAGGAAGGGCCTTGGTGTTACAGGCTGGGAGGGTGTGGAGTTTTAAAGAAGTGCACATTTACAAAAGAAAGGGTCTTGAGAAAGAAGCAATAGAGTTGCATTGTGGGCATTGTAGGAACCATCATTGTGGTGGTTTACCCATACTTAGGACCTGATATCAAAGCCTCTGTTGTTTTGATTCTGTTCAACTTTATTGGAGCGAATTAAAGTGTTAAATCAGTAACAGAATACAATTGTTTAAGAAAATAAAATACAGACGCATTTAAAACATTTTTTTTTTTTACCATTTATGCACCTGCATTTGTCCAGTGATATATAATAGTGTGTAAAGTTATGATTTCAATATGGTTTTAGGTACAAAAACACATCCAGTTAGAGTCCATTCATGGTGCGTTCAAGTGCCCGGACAAACTGGTGACTCAGCAAGAAGCAACGTTAGGATGGACGCAACCACAACGAGCATATTTTGTAGCCAATTTAATGTGGCACAGGTGAAAGGAAAGAGGTCATTCTACATATAAAACAACGCCTAAATATCACACAAACAAACAAACACACACACAAAGGCCGAGAAATCAAAGGTGTGTGAAAAGTGACAGCTGCAGCCAGTTGTTATAGTAACGAGTCTCTCAGGAGATGTCAAACCGAGGCTGAATAAACCCACGAGAAGTGAACAAAACACGACGCCTCGGACCCTCGGTGGTTTTATCTACCCGTGTGATCCAGTGGAGGATCGGTACCTTCATTATTTGCAGCTCGTTTTTGTCTTTCGCAGGCTCGCCACTCTTCTCGTCTTCCGCCATCTTTTGCGTTTAGCTCAGAGCGGCCTGAAAGCGAAGAAGAGCAGCTGCTGCCGGGGCGGAGCAAAACGCACCACGTTACCAAACTAATGGTACATAAAGTGTGTGATGTTAATGTGGTGACGGAAAACAGTCATTTATGTTCTAAAATAGCCTCAATATCGTTAATTTCATCTCACAGGAAACAGGCTTTTAATTTCAGCGACGCCGGAAGTTGGAGTAGTCTGTACCCAAAATGACTCCGACAAAGAACCGCTGCACAAATGAACAAATATGCTTTTATTGTGGCGTCATTTGCTCCCAGAATACCACTTTTAGTACATTCTCGATTCAACTTTGATCATTTATCTATTTAAGATAATAAATCCGCCAGAATAATTCGCGCACACAGCACATATCAGCCGGAACTTTTAATCTCTCAACCGAGATGCCGGTCCGGCGCTCTCCCGCCGCGCACCATACATCATCTGGCTCCCAAACAACAAACCGGACCGTGTTGAACTTTTGTCTCCACATTGTTTCACTGTGAGCGGAGTTTGAGTCCGCAACGCTGCTCAATCCGGCTCCTCATGTCGGACACATGGAGCAACATCCAGGCGCACAAGAAGCAGCTGGACTCTCTGCGGGAGAGGCTGCAGCGGCGGCGGAAAGACCCCGCACAACTGTCCGCAGGTACGGAGGCACCGGGGACACCGAGGAACGATTGTTCTCTGAGTAATCAGTGGAGTATTTATCCCGGTAATCGGTTGATTAATGGGTCAATAAGTTGCCGAGAATGAAGACAATTTGGCCATGTTTTATCCAAATGACTCCGACAAAGAACCGCTGCACAAATTAACAGATATACTTTTTTTTTTATTGTGGAGTTATTTGCTCCCAGAATACCACTTTTAGTCAATTTTCATTATTTATTTATTTAAGGTGATAAATCCGCCAGAATAATTCGTTTACACAGCACATATCAGCCAAAAATATCCAGCTTTTATCAATAAATGTACGGGATTATAACACCAACATGCTGTCAGACTTAAATTAATAATTGACGATTGTTGTAGCACAAATGTTAATAGTTTGTTTTTTTAGGGAACTCCTAACAGTGATCTTCATCTTTTAAATTGCTTGTTTTTGTTTGACTAACTGTGCAAAACACAAAGATATCCAGTTTACTATCACAGAGGACAAAGAAAACCAGCAAATATTCATTTTCGTGAAACATTTGAGAAGCTGGAACCTGTGAATTGAAGTTTTTTTTGCTTAAAGAATGACAAACGATTAATCAGGCCTAGTTTTTTCCCCAACAATTGACTTATGAATGAATCGTTTCAGCTCTTATCATTTGTAGGGCTGCAACTGGGCATGATTTACATGATCAATTACTTTTTTCGATTGATTGGTTAACCATTTAGTCTATAAAATATAACTAAAATCTAAATATATTCAGCTTGCAACAACATTAAAGATCTTGATCCATTTCCCTTTTGTTAAGGATCGATTATCAGAAATGTTGTTGGTTCATTTTCTGTCGATTGACTAATCGTTACAGCTCTAATGAATTAGCTGTGAGGCTGCCACACTGTATGTGCCTTGATAGATCGATGTTTTCATTACTATTAGTATGTAGTTTTTCTATATTAATTAAATTGAGCTTTTTAAAATGAATGATTGTACTAATGTTTATCGTTTCTTGCTTTATTGTAAACTGCAATGAAATACCGTATACAGCAGGCTTAAATGTTTGTTTCCATGTAATTATTTGACTTCACATTGTCATGAAGTGTCAAATGCCAATTTTGGGACCTGGAATTTTATTAAACAAAACTGTTAAGTTATGAAAACTCTTTTAATCTGATATCTAAATGTTCTGGAGGACGTTGTCGGGTTCAAAAACCTCTTCACCCCCCTGTTGTCTCCTCTCGGTCAGACGGTGGAAGCAGCACGGAGGCTTCCACAGCCAGGAGTGACAGCCCGGCACCATCAGCACCGGCCCCCCCTCAGGAAGAGACGGAGAAACCGCCAGACCCCGAACTAGAGAAGAGGCTGCTGGGATATCTCTCCGATCTGAGTCTTTCTTTGCCAACGGACTCCCTTGCCATCACAAATGAACTCAACAGTGTGAGTCTTGATCTCTGAGCACGTTTGTGGCAAATAGTAACGCAGGTTTTATATCATATTAACGACTTTGTATTTCTGTTTTTGAAATTCTCACAGTCTGAAACAGCCGTCAGTCATGGATGCATCCAGAGTCTGCTGCTAAAATTCTCCGCTCAGGAGCTCATCGAGGTCCGGCAGCCCACCTCCGCCTCTTCCTCTTCCACCTCCTCCCCCTCAGTCGTGGTAGCAGTGGACCACACGAAACTATGGGCCATGATCGGGTCCGGCGGTGGAGCCCAACGGCCCGGAGTCAAGAGAAAAGCAGAAGATCAAACCCACCACAAAAGAGCTCCGGGGTTCTCGCCTTCGCTTCAGAGCTCCGCCTCTCCTCCCCACACCTCCTTCACCTCTCTGACGCCGGCTTCATCCACACAGCTGGCGGGGCCTTCGGCGTCCGGGAGCGGGGCTGACAAGAAAGGCAGGAGCAGCAAAGGCCAGTCATCCCACATGGACATGGAGATCGAGAGCCTCCTGAACCAACAGTCCACGAAAGAGCAGCAGAGCAAGAAGGTAGGAAGGAGGGCCGGTTTCCCCTCTCGTCTCCCACAGCACCCAGAATTATTGTAACCAGTTAAATCTACACAAAAGTAAAGCAGGGTAGTTGGGAGGTGTGATTATTGATACATGGCGTAATGTGAATGTTATTTAGGTGAGCAGGGAGATTCTGGAGCTGCTTAACGCCAGCACAGCCAAGGAGCAGTCCATCGTGGAAAAGTTCCGGTCCCGCGGTCGAGCTCAGGTCCAAGAGTTCTGCGACCACGGGACCAAAGAGGAGTGTGTGCGCTCCGGTGACACACCTCAGCCGTGCACTAAGTTACATTTCCGGTGAGTGTTTTCCCCGGCACGCTTTTAAAACGTCTCTTGTTTGTATTTATATCACCCCACCTTGATAAACTCTTTGTATCAGACACTCCACAGCAGAAAAGATCAACCAAACTATTTATATATAAGCTACAGGTACACCCTAATCCATATAGATTCCTTGATGAATAAACATAATTTAATTTGTATTGATAATATTTCTCTACTGTCCCAGACACTTTATTTTTGTGTATGTTCTGACACAACACTGACATCCTTAATGCTACTAAAGTAAATACAGTTCTAAATGTAAAACATAGAAAGGCCTTATTGCTACATAATCAGTTTTATTTAATCAAATAGAAAAGGAAAATGTGTCTTTTTTTATTGTTTTAGTCTCAAAATATAAAATTTGTGGAGTTTCTCCTCATCCAAAATGATGCTCTATGGCCGTGGTTCCATATCACCTACCTGGTGGTCGGGTTTCAAAATAAGTCTCAGTGGTCCTAAGATGAATAATAATGTATGAAAGATTTAAAAACATATTCTGCTACATAATCTTTTGTTCATTTTTTCAACTTTTTAGTATTTTTTAAGTGGGCACAAATCAAAAAGGTTGGGAAACACTGCTTTTACAGGTAGTATGGTTTCATCTGGGGACAAATTATCCAATTTTAATAAACTTTAAAGAGGACTCCAATATATTTTTTTATTTGCCTTCCGGTATTTTACCTTTTGTGGTATGAGAATAGAGGTGTTATGTTTTGGGCTTTAGTTTTGATTTTTATTCAGACATGAAGCTCTTAAAATGACATTACACAAACATTTTTTTACACAGCAGGTTTACCTTTGTGATACATATTCTCTCATTCAGTCGCATTATCAACAAGCACACGGACGAGAGCCTCGGCGACTGCTCCTTCCTCAACACGTGTTTCCACATGGACACCTGCAAGTACGTCCACTATGAGATCGACAGCCCTCCGGAGGCCGAGGGGAGCATGCTGGGGCCGCAGGCCGGGACTACAGAGCTTGGCCTCTGTCAAGGGGACGCAGACAGCAACGTGGGCAAACTCTTCCCCTCACAGGTAAGGAAGATGGGGTAAGAGAGCGAGATAATGATGGTTGATATTTTTGGTGGGTAATAAAATTCAGGTTGTGGGGTTTTTTTTGCAGTGGATCTGCTGTGATATCCGCTACTTGGACGTATCCATCCTTGGTAAATTTGCTGTGGTGATGGCTGACCCTCCGTGGGACATCCACATGGAGCTACCCTACGGCACGCTGACTGACGACGAGATGAGAAAGCTCAACATCCCCATCCTGCAAGATGACGGCTTCCTCTTCCTCTGGGTCACCGGCAGGTAACTACAACAATCCGAACAGTCCGAGGGAGTCGTCAGGGTAGTTTAGACATCACACTACCACATCAAGATGTCTTTGAACTTAACACTAACGAACAACAGTTTGCTGTGATAGCCTGACAGAAAACCTGTATTTAATATTTTATTAAAATGTTTCCCCCAATAAAGTTAAAGCTTACTCAGTTAAACCAGTGGGATTTATCATATAACAATACTTAGTCCACTAACAGCAGCGTCCTTGTTCTGCACTTCCAGTTCATCTGCTCATTTTCATCTTTTGCACAACTTCTTGTCTTGCAGGGCTATGGAGCTCGGCAGAGAGTGTCTCAGTCTTTGGGGGTACGTCTTTCCTTCTGTGCATCAACTACCATCAAGACGTAATTTTGTAAGGAAACCATTTTATTTTATTATATTTTCTCTTTTTCCTCTCAGCTACGAGCGTGTCGATGAAATCATTTGGGTGAAAACCAACCAGCTCCAGAGAATCATCCGCACAGGAAGGACAGGCCATTGGCTGAACCACGGGAAGGAGCACTGTCTGGTAATGTTTGTCTTCCACTGCTCTTATGTATCCTCTTATACATTTTATACTCCCTCTGTCGTATACTGTATGTTCAGGAGTTTCTACTTTTTTGCATGTTTGTGCTTGGTAGTTAGCCCCATGGCTAGAAGTAAGATATTCAGCTGCAACAGACTCAGTCTTTGTTGTGTCAGATTAAAAAAAATATCATGTGATTTGTTTCTCATCAGGTGGGTGTGAAGGGAAACCCTCAGGGGTTCAACAGAGGTCTGGACTGCGATGTCATTGTGGCCGAGGTAAATTATTCTATCTCCTGTCGCACTTACTGTATTTACCTTCACATGATTTCTACTAATATGATACAGATTCCACCTCTTCACTGCATTTCACTCTCTTCCAGGTCCGCTCCACCAGTCACAAACCGGATGAGATCTACGGCATGATAGAGCGACTGTCGCCCGGCACCAGGAAGATCGAGCTTTTCGGTCGACCCCACAACGTCCAACCCAACTGGTAACATAACCATCATGCTTTCAATTAGAGGCCAAGTAACTGTTCCACATACGTTACATGTACTGACTGATCGTCTTCCTGTAGGGTAACTCTTGGAAACCAGCTGGATGGAATTCACCTCTTGGATCCCGATGTCGTGGCTCGATTTAAGAAGCGCTATCCTGACGGCGTCATCTCCAAACCCAAAAACATGCAGTGATGACTTTATCAGTGATCACAGGTTTGGAGAAGTTTGTCTATAGACTGTTTTTGTTTTGTTTTTTTTATACCAGTGAACTAATTTCTTAAATAAATGTTGTCAACAAGATACATCGTCTGTGTCTTGGTTAAGAAATGATTGAAACTATGTGAGGAAATAATGTGAATTACTTTTGCAGCAATGTTATCTGTACATGAATGTATGTGACACCCCACCATATATAAGCAAGCAAAACATCACATTCACCACCAATAAAAAAAACACAAGAGACATTTTTCATTTAACGTTTTTGTTATTTTGTTAGTAAAGAATAATGTTAGTTTGTAATGTAGTTTTGAATAGCTGATCATTTTTGCAATAACAAAAAGGACAAAAGTTTCCAATTTCAGCAGGTTTTTCACAGTTATTTGGGAACATTTTAGGCAAATGCAGAACCCCTGTTCATCCTAAAGGTCACGGTGTGTTAAAAAGAGTAAATACATTTTTATATTTAATGTAACCAGGAGTTTGTTTTTTTTTTAATTATAAAAATATTAAAGGAGTTATAATTTAGTGAGCTGAAGCCAAACATAACTTACAAAATGTATATCATTTTGTGGTGCAGCTCATTTCTTAACACTTTCCAAAGAGGGAGCAAAAAACAGCAGCTGGGTATCCTCAGACTTGGTCTGCAAATATACATATTGTCAACATGTCCCATATGCATTTGATCTAGGATAATGCTTGATGCATTTTATGAAAGAGCAAACCTTCTGTTTTGTAGTGTTTGTCAGTGCACAGGGGTTTTGTCACAAAGCAGGATTCGGTTCAGTTTGGTTTAGAAATGATGATGGCTGGTAATTATAAATAAGGAATTCTTCATTGTACTCTTTAGTTAACTCTCCCATCCTACTTTGTGAAACATCCCTATTTCACATGGGGCGTTATCTCATCAGCAAATTGAAAAATCAGCGGTTTCTTTCCACAATGGTAATCAAATAAGAATTTGTAAAAAAAGAAAAACGTAAAAAAAAACCTTCCAAAAGTAATGCACTTTTTGTTTGTGAATGCTGTAAACAAGTCTCAATGTTGTCTTCTCTCTCATCACTATCATGTCTGTTTGGGCAGTGGATCCACTTCGTCTAGAGTTCAGTCTTAATGCACACAGATTGAAAACCCAAGTCTGTTTTAGTCTGTCTTGTTGTTGGATCTGATTAATCATCGAGAGTTCTTTGTGGCCAGGAAGCAACGAGGGGTTAAAATGCAAACAGCGGCTGTGCACAACTACTGCTGATCACGATAGATGCGTTTGCTCAGCTATCCGGCTCCCCAGGTCTGCACCTCAGGTTCCAAGCATGAATGTGCAACGTAAAAAACTTCGATACAGGAGTCCGTTTATCTCCTCTGCAGCCCTGCTCAGTAGGTGGCGTCCACTGCATTGATGTTGCTGTCTAGCTGGTGTCTAAAAGACAGCCTGGCCTTGGTAGAGAAATATATCTGGGAGCCCCGACTCAGGCTTCCCGCTCCTTCGCTGTCACTACTCCATGACGTTGTGGAGCAGAGACGGGGCTTCATCTCCTCAATGGGAACTGAGGGAGCAGAAGATGGGAATAGACAGTCAGGCTTTATCAGGCCATAGTATCAAGAAATGGTTGTTTATTTGGTCTATGAATAATTTCCTAAATATTCAGAGTGTAGTTGCTCCTCACCTGCCGCTGGGGGGCACTGCCTGCTTTTGCAGCGCTCTTTACAGCGTCTGTAGAAAGGAAAACACTGCAGCATCTTCACACCCATGGTGGCAGTTTTGTCTGTAGAGAGAGGAGTAAACAGAGACATAAATATAAGTGACAGGATAGAAACAGAAAACAACATAATAAAAAATAAGTCCTTTTCAATGCACAAGATTCTTCTTGAGACTCACAAAAGCACTCTAAACTGCAGCAGTGACAAACCTTCTCTCAAATATGAAATATATGACATTTTCCCAGGATGTTTACTTCTACAGTTTCCCTTTAAGCTGCCTTTTAGTACAGCATGTCTGAGCTCCCGGGCCTGCTGACAGCTCCTTGTCTCCTCACTAGGTCACAGTTTAATGGAATTATGATCGTGCACTTCAGCAACGTGATAGGCTACTGTGAGCCGACAGTATCACTGAATGGCACAGTGTCCCAGCAACAAGCCAATCAGTCAGTATTTACAGTGCCATCATCATCCTCCACACACCACCTAATCCTAGAACAGGACGTCAACGGCCTACGGCAACCAGAGGAATTGTTAAGCCCTCTTCTGACAGCCAAACACAGATTACATAGAGGTCGTCTGATGTGTGCAAGTAATGGCTGACAGGAACATATCTCAGCTGATGATGATAAATAAACAAAGAAAGCTTTAATTTTAAGAATACTAAAAGCTTCTAGTTCTGCCCTGAATATACGCCCAATCTTTTATCCAAACACTGCAGGCACTGTAGATCGGATTAATTGAGCAACAAGTCAATCAAGTTCTTAATTTCCCTCAAGCATTTTCCCTCTATCTGTGGCACCTCTGAATGATAAGATAAAGCCAGGTCCACATACCAGCACTGAGCTGTATTTACTTAGAGTGTAAAAAAGGCATTTATTTTAGTCTAATCAGGTTAAGAAATAGGTCAGGTGAAATGGAGCAAAGGGAGGTGATGGATCTCAATAGTTTCTATTGTAATTGTGCTTTGGGGTAAAAGAGTTGATTCTGCTCCAAATTAACTACAATTTTATGTGTTATCTTTTCATGATGTTGGACAATTAACAGTGAAGTTACTCTTCTGCAAAGTGAACAAAGGAATAACACACTAATTATACACCATTTCCTTCCCTCATAAGGAAACTAAAAAGAGCTCTGTCACTTTATGACAGGAGGTAATAAATTGTAGGATGACATTTTATAGACATACGTAACAGCAAGGCCTTCATTACGAACAATCGTTTTATAAAAATGAGGCAAAAAGTGACAAAGTGATCTACAGAGCTGCAAAATGACCGCAAGACAAGACACGGAAACGACCACAAAGACGTGCTAAACAACTACAAAAAGATGCAAAAGGACCACAAAGAGACTCAAAAACAATGACAAAGACACTCAAAATGACTATAAAGAGACTTAAAATGACTATAATGCTACACAAAATGACCACAGAGAGATGCAAAAGGGCCACAAGTAGACTACAAATAGGGGCAAAATGACTACAGAGATGCAAAACGACCACAAAGAGACTCAAAAACGCCCTACAAGAGATGTAAAATGGCCACAAAATAGATTTCAAAACGACTACAATGGGGGCAAAATCGACACGTCCGAATAAAGCTGCCCATTTCAGTCCTGATGGAAAAAAACCCACTTTGTGTGATAAAGCACTAAGCTCCCATGTTTGTTAATCACAGTTGGAAAGATTTGGATACCTGATGTCAAACAGTAAATGGTGATTGCAACATACAGCGTTTGGCTAACATCTTTTCCCCTTTTTTTTTTCGACACTGTTTACTGCTGATCCCTCGTGCTGCTTGACTCATTTTCATGGAGACGTGACAGCTCACACATACACACGGAGTCACAGAGCTGCGGTAGCAACATTACAGACAAAGAGGGCAGACCTTCTGTCCACTAACTCTAAAAGCTCAAATTTCACAGTCTCTCCTCTCTTTTGGATAAAATTCACACAGAAAATGCTCTTTTCTTCTCTCCTCTGTTTCTTAACCATCTAATGCAACTCCCCTTCTCATTTTCACACAGGTGTGGCTGTGAAATCCTATCCCGTTTACAGACACAGTGAATCCATTATGGTTAGGTCAATGTAGAGTTTCTGCCTGTGAAATGAGAATGCACAGTATAGCACACATTGTGAAGGAGAGAGAACAGGGACAGTACGGACCCATTGACCAATTTACCCCCCCCCCCCCCCACCCCACCCACTTAGTTCACCTATTCTTGCAACAGAGGATATAAATTCTGTGTGTAATAATAACTCAGAAAAGTGTATACTTTTTTCACTTAAAAATAAGCGTTGCAAAGGCAGTTTCCACGCACACACACGCCACACAACAATATTAGGCCCCTGGGTCAGTTGGGAATTTTGGGCCCAGATTCATTGGATTGGGGCTGTGGGTCTGGCAGCATGCAGGCAGCCTGTAGCCTGGAGGAAAAACATACCTCAGATGGCAAACATACCCAGAAAGCACAACAGTACCCACCAATTTGACCACAGGAGAGGAGGGAGGAAAAGAAAAAGTGAAAAAAAAAAAAAAAAAAGAAACAATATGGCTCAAATCAAAACTGAGGGATAAAATAAGAAAGATCTAAGTGAATGAACTTTGTGAAAAAAAGGTTGGGGGGATTACTGTCTGAAGGCCTTAAACCTCCATTTTCTCTTGGGGCAACATTGGGCAAACACATGAATAATGTGGTCTACTCGTTCAATCAGTGGTGGGCAACACTTTCTGCAGAGCTGAACGTTGCGCCAATCACTGGAGATATAACATTAACAAATGTAGCATGGACCTTGATGGTATTCATAATTTTGAGTGGATGTTTATGCACGTTACGGGAGATGTGATGGGAAAGCGAGCAACCTTAATGTGTTTGGCCACGCACATCCCTACATAGTCCCCATTTCTAGACCATCAGTCAAGGACTTCTTCTCTCTGCAAAAAGTCCCCACGCTTTGAGCCCCTTATCTGCTTTGATAAACAATGTTTAAAGCAAGCGCAGAGGAACAACTTACATAACGGTGATAACGATCCTTCCCAAGCTTCCACTTTCCTCTTCACTCCCCTTTTCCAGTTGGTCCCTGAGCTTTAGGAAAAAAAAAACTACGCATGCAGTTCCGTGTCCGTGTGGTTCACTGCCCTCAAGACACAAAGCCTCAGCACATGCCTGCCAGCTGGATACGCACAATGTTTCTTCTGTGCATGTATACCTTGCACCAATTGGTTTGTTGTCCATTAATATAGCAGCAACAATCGTTTATTCATTATTCCATCACAAGCAGTGGATAAATCAGCTTTTGTGGCGTTTTTATAGAAGCTCCATGCAATCAGGACCAATCAAAGAATGGCAATAATTTTTATTATTTGTCATGTGCTGAAGAAGTTACAAAACCCTCAAGTGCTTTGAATTACCACTTAATAAAATTTAAAGGCATTTGTACCATCCTTTTCATGTACTTATAGTTGTGGTCATACATTTCAGATTGCAAAAGTTGTCTTTTTCTCACTAATTATTTGACAGGCTTTCCAGTCACTTATCATTAAATTTTTTTTTTTTTTTTACAAACAAACCACTCTTACCAATGGTATGATGGTCCTTTTAAGCAGTTAATATTTATTATGGTTGGCTGCAACTGCAAGTTACCACCCATCAAAAATGCAGCCTTACTGTACACGCTAACCACAACTAACTTTTAAAGTAAAATTTGAATACAGACTTTTAGGAAAATGGATTGGGGTGATGAGGTAGCTTAAAATATTTGTTCCAACTTGTTAAAAAAACAATGCAGGCACTTCCGGGGGTTATCGATGCAGTCTTTGAACACTCCTCTTAGAAATATGTACACCAGTTTATAAGCAGTATCACAGACATTGCCATAATACATAAACAGCGTTATGCGTTGGCACAACTCGTTTGTATGGCTCAATTTAAAACCTAAATAGCTTAACAGAACTTCTAATGACCGCCACCACTGCACAGATATGTAACTTTTGTATGCATTTATGGAACTATATTGCAAATAAGGCTGAAATAAAATATAGAAAAACAGAAAAATAGCAATATATCCCCCCATTTCTGCCCTCCTCTAAACATTTAAAGGGGAAATCAGGCATTTGTGCACTTTTACTGCTAATAAAAAGACCACAAGTACTTCTTCCAGCCACTGTTTTGTGATTTCGGCCTCTTTAAAAAAAAAAAAAGGCCCACACCTTTAGTTCCCAAATGCTACCATCAGATGCGCGTGCACGAGGTGAAAGCCTGTGTGCGCGCTCAGCAGGAAGGTT